TACCCTCTATTTCCATATATTCATATATCTTATACACACGTGTATGTATTTCAACTAGTATATAACTACATTAATCTATTTCTATTTTCCAAAGATATCAAGCAAATTTCTGGAAACTTCAAGCTTATTGCCAAATGTTCTCTTTACATTATTTTTCTTTCATTTCACTTGTACCAAGAAATAATCTACTTACAGAGATTGACTATCTTAGCCAAGGTTTTACGATGGAGGAAGCAGGAAGTGAACGCTAGGGCCATTTGAGAGCTGCGTTCTCCACACTGTACCATTTTGCCTAACTTTCTATTGTGCTAATGGATGGTGTGTTGATGGGTTGCTTGATTTTTTTCCTCTTTGCTGGAATAGACAACTAATCTATGATCAATTTAGAAGGTATTTGTGTCAGTGTTGAGACCCAAACAAAGACAACGGGGCAGTCATTGTCCTGAGAAAAACCAAGCGTTCTGGTATTGTCTCTATCCATAAAACATAAATGAGGACACGTAAGTTAGCAGACCCCATGTCACTGCCAACAACAACTTCGCAAGAGTTTTTCCCTGCCCTCACTTTCAGACATGTGTTAGGAAATTGCAGATTGTGTACAAAAACTGAGGGAACAAAAACTTCATGAGGGTAGGAATATCTTCTTTCTTATTTCCCGACATATCTAGAATCCTTAAAGTGCACAGCAAATCATCCATTGAGTAAATGCGTTTCTGAGCACGCCCTTGAGTGACTTACAATGGACTGTAAGTTGCTTTTCCCTAAAGCAGCTTAACTTTTTATTAGGTTGTGTTATAACCAAACCTGAAAGGTAGGTGATAATGTTTATGTTGCCACTCCTGAAATGTAGACAGTTTCTTAATATAAGTTAGGAAAAAAGAGAGAGAGAGAGAGAAAGAGAGAGATGTATTTGGATGGACTTGAGGTTTGAATTCTCAAAGCAGCCAGCACAATGTATTTAATAACACGATATATCCTTGTGCTGAATTGCAGCATTGTTTGCTTCCCAAGTTGTGCCTCTTGGCTTTAGAATGCAGGAATAATTGTGGGCTGCGGCTTGTAATTATCAGTCTGCTCTAATAGTAGGACCAATATCACCCTCAAATTGCTGGGTATTAGCATACGGACAAGAAACGGACTAGAAAACGTGAGTATTCCACATTACAAAGCCTTACCATCTGCCCTGGAGTATGGGGGCAGTTGGGGTAATTGCATACATCTGAGCTGGGAAAAGTTGGCTCAAAGTCACAAAGGGACAAGGAAAAAGAAAGGAAAACTCCAGTCACCAATAGGGAGTGAGGTGTCCTGGAGAGGGTAAGCCTGCAACACTCGTCACGAAAAATTAATATTAAGAGCAGCAATCATTTATTGAGTGTGTATGCCATGCAGAGTAATGAATTATTTACCCTAGTGTATTAGTCTAGGTACTTTGGAGAAACAAATCCACGGCGACTCACGTATAAGAGAGAGTTTTATGTAAAGAAAAGGTGCATCATGAAAACATCCCAACCCAATGCTGCCCAAGCCCACAAGTCCAACATTAACCCATACCCAACACC